TGTAAGCATTTCCGTGGGTCAGTTTATTTGGTTTGATACCAGCGCTTCCAGGTAGGTGACATTATTATCATCAACCCCATTTTATAGATGAAGAAATGCAGACTCAGAATGGCTGATGTGCACGTGTGTATTATACACTGGGGCTCTTGTTAAAATGCAGTTTTAGTGGATCTGGGGTGAGCCCTGAGTGCCTCAGTTTCTGAAATGTTTCCTGGTGATGCTGATGCTGCTGGTCTGTGGGCCAGATTGGAGTGGGTTGGGATTAACTATAGTGCCTTGGGTTGGATGTGGCTAAGAGGTGAGGCTGAGATTTGAACTCAAGTATTCAAACCCTGAATCCTTTACTTTTCCCATCCTACGATGCAGCGTCTCACTCTGGACATGCCTGTTATATGTTATAAATGACTGATCAGATCTCCTGGCCCTTTAGTGGGCAGTGGCTTTAGTACTTTCAGCTCTCTGTTTGCCTTGTCTAGCAAACAGTTGTTAAGTCAACCAAACCATCAGTCTTACCGTAATGGCTATAATTTATAGTCAGCTGGTTTTAGGACTGGCTTTCCAGCAGCTTTACATATATATCCTCTACTCTTCTTACCTATGTGAGGTGGGTTCCAGTCTGAGTCCCATTTTGCAGATGAGGAACTCCAGTGACTTGGCAGGTCCTACCCATCACCTAGTAACAACACAGCCAAAGTTAGCCCCAGGTTCTCGGGGCCCCAAAATGTCTGATCTGTGGCATGCCCCACACTTCCTGTTAAACACTGCAGATGACTGCCAGACCATCACTAATTATTAACATTGCCGTCAGCATCCTTTCCTATCAGTTAATGTCAGCAAGGTAACACTTCATTTTTCACCAGATGAGCTCATTATTAACAGTGTTCTGGGGTTAATCCTTTTATGGTGGTAAAATACATATAACATAAAACTTGCCAGTTTTAGGTATACATTTCAGTGGCATTAAGTATACTCATCTTGTTGTGTAAGCATTACCATCATCCATCTAAATGTTTTCACCTTTCCCAGCTGAAACTCTGTCCCCACTAAACAGAAACTCTCCTTACCCCCTCCTCTCAGCCCCTGGAGACCTCCATTCAATTTTCCATCTTTATGAATTCGACTACTCCAGGGACCTCATATACATGGAATCATATAATATGTGTCCTTCTGTGTCTGGCTGATTTCACTTAGCATAATATCTTCAGGGCTCCTCGGTATTGTAGTGAGGGTAATCCTTTTGAAATGTGAATGAATAATCACTTCCTCATGTATCTTTCCAACCCCAATTTTCATGTAGCGGGGAATACCCCTAGAATGGATTGATAACAATCAAAACTCCAAATATAAGGACCTGAGAATCAAGGCTGAACTGAATAGCGGAGGGCAGGGGCAGAAGACGGTTCTGAATCAGTATGGGGCAGGGGAGCAGTCAAAACAACAAGCCAAAATGCCAGCTAGGGACCTTTCTCCAAAGCTTGCTTGCTGGTGTGTCGGCAAAATACTACAGCCCAGTGGCCTCCTTGCTAGAGAGTCATCCTCTTCATTTACAGCTGATGTCCTTTTGGAGAAACTGTACGGCTTGGGAAGACCTGCCTGCTCCTTCCTGTACTTGCTGCTGTTCTTTACAACCTTCAGCAAAACCTCTTATGCTCTGGAACCTTCAGCTGCTTCACTTTTAGAGCTAGGGGCAGGATTAACATCTTTTAGGGCTCTTTCAGGTCAAAGTAGTTATGACACGTGATTATTTTTGTTTTATGATGTTTAAAATCCGTATTTCTCAATTTCAGTTTTTCATCCTCTTCAAGGATTTTGCCTTTCCGCAGTATCCTCACTGCTATTTTACTTAATATTTTTCTTGAGTTCAGTTCACTTTTTAAAGTTCTGTTTGAAAAAGAAGCCCTAAATAATTACCTTAAATGGAAAACCAGTATCACTTACGATGAATAGAAGATAAGCTCAAAACTAAGCATAATGGAAACCAAATAACATGAAATTCCAGCTTGATGTTGGTTGCTGCTGCAGGCTGGCCCTGAAGTCTGTTCTCTTTGATAAATACTAAAGAGATACTGAAGACACTCTAGTGCCCCACCGAGACCTTCTCCTTGACTTAATCCAGAGAATGGAAGGAGAATCCAGACAGGAATACATTTTTAATTTTATGATTCAAAGTTATTTGATTATTATTTGGCATCTAAAATATCTCTATTTCTTTGCTGTCAAGAGTCCCTGGCATTGGAATAAACTCTGCTTCTAGTATAATGAAGGTAATCAACTCTCTGGATTTCAAGTTGGGAAGCAAATATTTATTGAGTTCCAACTCTGGGCCAATTACTGTTGTAAGCACTTTACATACTTTATGTTATTTAATCTTCACCATGACACAGTAGGGATAGATACTCTTCCTAACGCTATTTTACAGATGAGAAAACTGAAGCTTCAGAGAGGTGTCATAGCCAGTGGCCATTTCCCCTCTTATCAATAGTCGATATAAGTTCCATATGGCATTAAATCTTAGAGCTGAAGCCCAAGTTTGAATGGCTCAAGGTTTGAGAACTCTCTCTCTGTCTCTCTCTGTGTGTGTGTGTTGATTAATATTGCTTTTCCATCGAAGTGCCAAGAACACAGGCTAATCTAGATTTCTATTAATCTTGTGTCAGCAGCAATGACAGTTTTACTGGGAGAGGCTGATAAACATCAGTCTGTGAGGATGGGAGTGGGCCGTAACATAAACACACTTCTCCAGAGCGGCTGCAAAGCAAACGAGGCTGTCCAAGCTCGGAGTGAAAACTCCCCTCGTGAGTGTGTGCATGTGCAGCGGGTACTTCTCACACGCACGTGTATTTGGAAGCTCATATGGGGCCTCAGGCACTGCCAGGCAGGAAGGGAATGCATTTTCCCATGTGTAGCTGTTCCGTACCTCTTCTGATTGACAGGGCACACTTCATAAAGCTTCCAGCCAACTTCCTGCAAGCAAGTCAGGGGTCTTGATAAGAAAGTGGAATTCAGAGCAATTAAGTGCAATCTGAGCCCGGAGAATGCGTTTTCTGAGGATGGTTGTACACCAGTTGCTTTCAATGACATTCCATTCATTCAGGGATGACTTTTATAAAATAGGCTTCTTTGAGGGGCTGTGACCACAACAGAACCTTGGTGGTATTCAGGCTGGGCTCAATCTGGGCATGCGAATCACACAGCCCATTTCCAAGCCTCACATGGGAATCAGCTTGGAGAATGATGGCAACCTACAGGGGCTCAGCTTGCAAGGCCGGTTCAGACTGGAGTGAAATATCCAGGTGACCCAGGGGCAGGGCGGCACTGTAGTTTGAAGCTTTAGAGGCACAGGGGTTTATATTGCTGTGTGTGAGTTACTCGTCTTCTTAAATAAGTAACCTCATCTCCTTAAGCCTCAATTTCCTCATCTTTTAAATGAGTTTTTCAGAAAAATTTGTGGTCAAATGGACGTAACATAAAACTGACTGTTGTAACCTTTTTAAGACATGAACTACATTCACATTGCTTTGTAAATCAGGTTTCTGTTAAGATTAGATTAAAGAATTTAAAGTGTTTGGAGCAGTACCTGATAATTGGAAGTTGTTCAAAAGGTGGTAACTAAGTTCATCATTATTATTCTTTTGCATATATGTTAATTTCTTGGGCTTTTCAAAATATGCCTGTTCTAGCGACAGGTGTTTCATGGGTATGGGCAGGTGTTAAGTGGTGGATGATACAAAGATAAGGGAAGGATGTGGAATCTGCCAACTGCCTCAGGAAATTTAGAGTCTGATAGGGAAAGCAAATATATATATATGAATATGTACCTATATACATATATGTATATATATACATATACATATATATGTAAAAGTGCTGTCATAAATGATAACACATGAAACATTTCAAGAAACCAAAGGAGAAGAGAATGATTCCAAGGAGTGTGGAGTACAGTGGAAACAAGGCTAGGTGAAATAATTGCCTGAAACTTGAAGGTTATGAAGCACTTTTATATTCATGGTCTCATATATATATATGTTTTTGACATGGAGTCTTGCTCTGTTGCACACACTGGAGTGCAGGGGTGCAATCTCGGCTCACTGCAACCTCCGCCTCTCAGATTCAAGCAATTCTCATGCCTCAGCCTCCCAAGTAGCTGGGACCACAGGCACGCACCACCATGCACAGCTAATTTTTATATTTTTAGTAGAGACAGGGTTTCTCCACGTTGGCCAGGCTCATCTCTAACACCTGACCTCAAGTGATCTGCCTGGCCAAGGTCTCATCTTGATTGATTTCTTTTTCTTGTTATTCTCATGATAATCCTATGAGCTAGAACAGGAAAGGGATCATAGATTCCTATTATCTGGTGGGTAAGCTGAAGCTCAAGGTCACTAAGTAACAGATTGATAGGAGCAGAGTTGGTCTGAAATATGATGACTCAAAACCCAGTGGTCTGAGTCAATTAGTCCGTTTCATCTTGGGTTACAAGACAGGCAAAATACAATTCTAATCAGGGTGTGAGTGGATAAAGAGGTGGTTTCCCAGTTGTGTAGGTCAGGGGTTTTCTGCAGTGTGATATGCATACCACTGCAAATACAATATGATTGGGTAGACCACAGAGGGACAATTCTTAAATTAATAGTTACACACTTTAATCTTCATCAGAAACATCAAGCCATGATTTTGCAAATGTGATTTCTCAGAGCAAGTCTAAATTAAAGTTTAAATAGAGCGTCCATTTAAAGAGTAATTCTAAGTAAGTTGCAGAGCTTGTAGCCTGAAGATCTGGTAGAACGTGTGATGGATGCCAAGGACTGCAGTTAGGAAACGCTGACCTGTTGGGCTGAGTGGTCCTTTATGAAAACTCAGGACTTGAGAGAAAATGGCGATCCAGCCGGCAGACCCACGCAGGTGCCCTTCATTCATTCCGTGTGATGTGAACTGATCCAACACAGGCGTAGTCTGGAATGCTAACAAGTCTCCCTGGGTCTTGCTTCTCTTTGTAGATTGCTGACTTTGGGCTTTCCAACCTGTACCAGAAGGATAAGTTCCTGCAAACGTTTTGCGGGAGTCCACTCTATGCATCTCCTGAGATTGTCAATGGGAGACCTTACCGAGGACCAGAGGTGAGCAGCTTGCCCGATGTGTATGGGGTTGGGGAGGGGAGGGAGAAGAAGGAGGAAGGGCAAAAATTGGATTTGATAAATGCTTAGAAAAACAGAGCCTAAAAAAGCAAGCAAGGAAAACTTTTCCTTATATGATTATAAAAGCAATAATTCATACTCCTGGGAGGAAGTTTTGAAAATCCAGAAAAGCCTAAAGGGGAAAATAAAGGTACCTGCAATCCCCCAACAAAAGCTAATCACTTAATACTTTTGTGACTTTTAAACTTTTTCCAATGTAGATCTCTGCATTTCAAAAATAATTGAGACCAGTTTTTGCCCTTATTATACATATGTGACACACATATGTATATCTTGCCTTTTACTATCAAAAATGTCTTGTGCCACTTTCCAAATTCATTTTAAAAACATGATTTAATGATGTTTTATTGATGAGTATACCATAATTTATTTAGTGACATCTAGATGTGAACATTTAGTTTTTTCCCTATTATATCAAAACAGACAGACAAAAAATTCCCTCACTCTGGAGTGAATATCTTTTTTGTATATATTTTTGGCAGCATATATATCTAACTAAGGAAATCCATTTTAACGACCTCTTCTAATTCCTGAGAAATACATTTCTTTACATGCCTAGAGCTTTCAAGGGCCACTGTAAGATTTGGGTATGTGGAAATTATTTTTTGAAAAAAAAGTGAGTTGTGAGTGATGATTCTTTTTGAAAGATGGTTCTCTTTTCAAGAGATTCATCCACTCAGTATCCTTTAAATAGCAGCTGCTCAGTGTGTTGAAATGTTTTCTTTCAAATATTTATCTGTTTGAGAGTGTTTGGGGGCAGGGCTGAAGGGTAAAGAGAAGGATGCCAAGACCATCTATCAACTGCAACGAAGAGAAAGTCTTTCTAAAATAAGGATGCGAGGGAGGAGCATGGAACTCAATTTACAAGTTTGTAGGAACTCAGCACTAAATTTCTCGTTGTTCATGAATATTTTGGTCTTTGATGACCTGTTTTTGAGGTTACAAGCTGGCAGCTTGTGATCTGGTCAACAAACTCCTTTATTTGGCCATCTTACTTTTTACTTAAAAAATTGAACAAACATGTAATAATTGGAGATTTCATATCAAAGTTTGGTTTCTGACTCTTCTTGAAAAACCAAAGAATCTAGCAGTGCTGGGCCCACATTACTCCATGGCAGCAGTTAGTGTAGGTGAGGTTGTCTGCCTAGATGGGTGAATCTGCTGTACAGTCAGTCTCCATCCCCAGCACTCTACGTCATAACCTCAGTCCTTTCTTGCTTTGTGTATATCCGTTGTTTGCTTGGCTCTAACACCATTTCAGTTTGTAATTCCTGATTCATGTGAACAAAGTGCAGGAAGGAATTGATTCCTGGATTAGAAATGAAGAGCCCCACATCCCAGTTTTACCTCCATCACTGGGGCAGGGCCTCTGGAGAAACCATTTAAGTTCTTCCTGCCTCAGTATTCCCATCCCCATCTGTCAAATGGGGCTGAAAATAGTCCCGGCTTTGATGCTTCACAAAATTGTAGTGAGGATTAAAAAAGATAATCTATTTAAGAAAGTTCTTTACTACTTGGGACCACTGGCTTCTGTTCAGGATGGAAAAGGTCAGGCTCTGAAGCAGGTCCCAGCTGCATTGCTGTCAGGTGTCAGGCTGCTGTGGGAACCTGTCTTCCAGGTGCTAAATTCAGTTCCTGGGGGCATTGCGGGTGACTGCTCACAGGCCGTGATGCTAATGGTTTGGGAGGCATCTTGGGATCTGTTTCCCAGCTCCTATATGTGCTGTCTCTCTGCTCCAGGTGGACAGCTGGGCCCTGGGCGTGTTGCTTTACACCCTCGTTTATGGAACAATGCCCTTCGATGGTTTCGATCACAAAAACCTCATTCGTCAGATCAGCAGCGGAGAGTACCGGGAGCCCACGCAGCCCTCAGGTGCGTGCCCTGCGGAAGGAGGGTCAGAGGTGGAGGGGAGAGAGATCTGTTTACCCTACTCTCATTTTCTGCTTTTGTTTTAATATGTCTGTCTGGAGTCTCCTGGTTTTCCTCTTCTTCCCAGAAGCATCATCCTTGGCAGAGCTGGCTTGTTAGGCTGCTTTCCCTAAACCTTCCCAAAGGAAATTTTCAGGGCACATGTTCTAGAAGTCCAGTTTGCTTGCTGTGTGAATCTGGGCACATCACTTAATCTCTTTGGATTCAGATTCTCCACCATAAATTAAAATTTTGGGAAAGGCATTAGATGGGGTCCCTCCCAGTCTGAGTAGACATAGAAACCACCCACCTGGGAATGTAAGTCCTGTGAGAGTGGCCACTGCTCTGCCTGTCACTACAGTGCCACTGGCACAAGGTATGGCTCATGGGCACTGTCTAGTTGATTGCTGCATAACAACTCTACCCCATCTGACCCCACAAAACAAATTCAGTGGCTTCCACAACCACGAAATAATCTCTGTCACTCCTGGGGGTTGGGAAGGGCTCTTCTGGTCTTCCTTGGGGTTTCTCCTACAGCTGTAAGCAGATGGCAGCTGGAGCCACTGCTGGGGCTGAATGGTGGACCTTCCTTGTTGCTCTCTGAGGTGCCACCCCACAGTGGCAGCTTGGGGCTCTAAGAAGGAGGAACCAGAAGCTGCTGAGCTTCCTTTCTTTTTTAAAAATTTGTTTTTCTTGAGACGGTGTCTTGCTCTGTTGCCCAGGCTGGAGTGCCAGTGCTATGTCTGTGCTTGTGCCCAGATTGTGCCACATCCACTGTGTTCTATTGGTCAAGACAACCATGGTCATGAGCTCCATCTCTTGATGGGGAGCGTCATGCCTGTACAGAGAGTGTGTACAGCTGGCCACTGCTGGTCATTTTGTTAGCAAATGAAGTTAACATTGGCACTTCATTTACATACATACTATATATGTGCATATATATATATGCATATCTGTATACCTGCACATACACAATTGATTCTCATTATTCACAGTAGTTATGTTCTAAAAAGTTGCTGCAAACACTGAATTTGTGAATACTGAACCATTACTCCTAGGGGAAATAGAGGGGTAGGTTCCTGAGAAACTCTGCTCACAATATTTTTTTCAACTGATTGATACATAACCTGGGTTTATGTATGTCTCTTTTTAAAAACACCTTATTTAATCTACATTATTAATTCATTAATATCAAACTCAATGGCCAACAGCACTGTAACTCATGCGTGAACAAAGCTGATCTAACACACTTCTCCATAAGGCACATCACAGCCTTCTCAAGCTTAGGAACACTAAACAGTGCTTCAGCACTTTTTTGGGGGGCAATTTAAAATAGCGGAATCACCAGTAAAACTTCCAAAAAATGTGAGAAACATAGCACTAAACAGACTGAGAAAAGGACACTTTGTATAATAGTATGAGAGCTAGATTTTTTGCTGCTCTGTGCATATGCAAAAATGATTGCAAAAGAGCTGTGAATATTGATTTTGAGGTTACGAATAAATTTCAGTGAGTAGGAAAATTTGCAAATACAGACTCTGTGGATACTGAGGCTAGCCTGTTGTTTGTGTATATATAGATATAGATATAGATATGCATTATCTCTCTCTATATATAATTTTTTCAATAAGCCAGCCTGTTCTTTTTGGAAAAATTCAGAATGACCTCTTCTTCTTTGCCTTACCAGCTAACGGATGCCAGTGGGGTTCCTGGCACATTGTAGGGGTTCAAAAAATATTTATTGAATGACTGAGGATGATCATGTTGGTTTTTTCAGGGGTGTTTCTTACCCCAGTCCCTATTACAGGGCCTTTGCCAGCTTCTCATTCGCCTACATAAGCAGCTGAGGGAAAGTGGCAGCTTCCCAGAATATAATTCACCCCAACTGAGTGAACACAGTTTAATACTAAAAGTCAGTTTGTAAGCTGTGAGAGTCAGTTGGTTCCTGTGGTCTTCTTAGTATCCATTTAAGGGATGTCATGTATGTACCTTTGAGCCACGCTCCATCTTCTGTCTCTGGCATGCTTTCCCAGTGACTGCAGGTGCTGTGTGTTTATATAAGCCCACTTTTGGAGGAATAAAGAAAGCCATGGTGATCTGCACCTGTTTTTCCTTCTGGCAAAATGATATTTACCAAAGGAATGGTGGGGCACCTCTCAGGGTCAAGTCTGGATTCTTTCTTGGTTACCTGACCTTTCACATTTTCTAAAGATTCGAGATGATGAAAAGCTTAGTAGCTCTATAACATTTCCTTACTCATAGGAAAACATGCCAGGATGTGATGGCACCCTGGCCTGTGGATTCCGAGTCTTAAGGATGCTTTTGATGGATGGTATCAAAGGCTGGGGCTTCCTGCTCCATAGTATGGCTGGACGAGGCCTCCAAAAGGATTTTTCCTAAAGGGAGCATGTGTCTTTTGCCATTCTGCACTATCACAAAGTCAGAAGCTCCCACATAATGCCTGATTCCTTTTGTCCCTTGTCCCTTAGATGCTCGAGGACTCATTCGGTGGATGCTGATGGTGAACCCTGATCGTCGGGCCACTATTGAGGACATTGCCAACCACTGGTGGGTGAACTGGGGCTATAAGAGCAGCGTATGTGACTGCGATGCCCTCCATGACTCTGAGTCCCCACTCCTGGCTCGGATCATTGACTGGCACCACCGTTCCACAGGGCTGCAGGCTGATGCCGATGCCAAAATGAAGGGCCTGGCCAAGCCTGCAACATCTGAGGTCATGCTAGAGCGGCAGCGGTCACTGAAGAAATCCAAGAAAGAGAATGACTTTGCCCAGTCTGGTCAGGATGCAGTGCCTGAAAGCCCATCCAAGTTGAGTTCCAAGAGGCCCAAGGGGATCCTGAAGAAGCGAAGTAACAGCGAGCATCGCTCTCACAGCACTGGCTTCATCGAAGGCGTGGTTGGTCCTACCTTACCCTCTACTTTCAAGATGGAGCAGGACTTATGCAGGACTGGTGTGCTCCTCCCAAGCTCACCAGAGGCAGAGGTGCCCGGAAAACTCAGCCCCAAGCAGTCAGCCACGATGCCCAAGAAAGGCATCTTGAAAAAGACCCAGCAAAGAGAATCGGGTTACTACTCTTCCCCAGAGCGCAGCGAGTCTTCGGAGCTGTTGGACAGCAATGATGTGATGGGTAGCAGCATCCCTTCCCCCAGCCCCCCGGACCCAGCCAGGGTGACCTCCCATAGTCTCTCCTGCCGGAGGAAGGGCATCTTGAAACACAGCAGCAAGTACTCAGCGGGTGCCATGGACCCTGCCCTGGTCAGCCCTGAAATGCCCACACTGGAATCCCTGTCAGAGCCTGGCGTCCCTGCTGAGGGCCTCTCCCGGAGCTATAGCCGTCCTTCCAGTGTCATCAGCGATGACAGCGTGCTGTCCAGTGACTCTTTCGACTTACTGGATTTGCAGGAGAATCGCCCTGCCCGCCAGTGCATCCGCAGCTGCGTCTCTGCAGAAAATTTCCTCCAGATCCAGGACTTTGAGGGGCTCCAGAACCGGCCCCGGCCCCAGTACCTGAAGCGGTACCGGAACCGGGGGGCAGACAGCAGCTTCTCCCTCCTCACAGACATGGATGACGTGACTCAGGTCTACAAGCAAGCGCTGGAGATCTGCAGCAAGCTCAACTAGCACTCCAGGGGGCCGGGGACAGGCGGGGGTACGAGGGAGGAAGGGGAGCAAGACTTGGGCTCATAGGCTGGTTACCTCTTTGCTGGCCATGACAACAGACTGAAAAAGGATTGGCACTGTCTCATTTGGCCAAGTTTGCAGCCTTGAGCCAACACCTAAAGGGGAGAAGTGGGCTCTTCTGCCGGTTCTGCCAACTGTCAGTCAGAATTTGGGCCCTATTTGGCATTTGCTTTATGGCACCTCCTAGAGGACCAGCTGTCCAGGAGAGGTGGTGTTGACCGGCTTAGTGGGTGGAGAGGAAGCACATGGCGGGGAGGATTTCCTTAGAAATTATCCAAATGCTTCTGAGGAGGGGCAGGAGACACTTGGGCTGTCTGCTTTGGGTGAGCCCAAAGAACTTGCCCCTTATCTCCTTGCATTAGCAAGCTAGGTCTGACTGCGTGGAGCTGGCAAGTAGATTTCAGCAACTTGAGCTTGAGGTTATGATCAATTAATAATGGCTGCCAGTTGTGCTGGTGTGAGTGGCCAACATCATGGGGAGAGAGTGCTGTGATTGACAAGTCATGGCTACCATGGACAAGGGAAGGGTAGCAGTAGCACTAATGCTATGTAGTTGTCATCTTTGATCTGGTTAAACCCTGGGAATTGGGTTAAGGCATTCTGTGGGATCTGTGTTAACTCCTTCGTGTCACTGGTGAGGCATTTGTTAATTTGCTACTCAACTTTGATGACAGGGCCTTGGTCAGACAGAGAATGCTCTGAATTCTGCTAAGGACATAGAGTCAACCCATGGTGATTTAGCTCCTTGCTATTCACCTCCTCTTTTCTGATGTCTGCCTTGCTGTATAGCACAACCTCTCAAGGGTGGACAGGGAAAAAGACGATGGTGTCAGAGGTCAAAACTATTGTAATGATAGGGCACAAGATGGTCTGTGATCTTTGCACAGATGAATGGAAGTTGATGCACACCAAGGGGGGCACCTTGTCATTTTCTTTCTCAGTATTAACTGGAATGCTGCCTCTTGGGTTCTCACATGCATGGATGCTTTAGTCTCCAGAGGATAACCTGAATCAACCATTGACTCTGTTCACCAAAGACAAGTGGTTTCCTCTTCCACTGAGTGTAGCATCTTCAGAGGTAGATGAGTTTGCTTCTAGGGAGTTAGTGTGTAGGTGGGCTATTGGGATGAGAAAAGGAAAATCAGGTAGAAGGTGCTTCCCCCCCAAATCTAAGTATTCTGTCATGTTTAAAACTTTGACATGAACTCCTGGGCTTTGGGGGAAAAGAAAGTTCCATTTATTTAAATGAAAAAGGTATTGAAAGAGTGCAGGGGGGTTGGGAGGAAGCATGTACGAGAGGGAACATTTTCTTAGATGTCACCCAGATGGTTCTGGAGGAGGCAGAAAAGAGGTGCAGTAAGACTCTTACTTAAAGAGTAAAAAAAAACCAACTAGATATATAATTTCTAAATACTCAGATCACAAGATGCCACTCCAACCATGGGACACCTTCAGGATACTAGGTTTGGACTGCCTGGTCTCTTTGGGATGACTTCAGATTCTGCTGGCCAAGAGAAATTGAACTCATTTCAAGAGGGCCACCTCTGGTAGCATGTAGATAGACAGGAGGACTGGTCTTGGGAACATCTTTGGAAAAACCAACAAACAGTCGTTCATAGGGAGATGAGAAAGAATTCACCTTACAGCACTAGGACAGTGCATTAGAATGGAATTGCCCTTTCCTTAAGGAGACAGTTCAGTTTCTCGCCTTACCACCGGCTCTGGCGTTTTGACTTGTGCATTCCTTCAGGTTGAGCTGAGCAGTGTTATGGGAAGCTGCTCAGTTTCCTTTCATTCAATTCCACCTCCTTCCTGAACTCTTAATAGAGGTTAAAAGGGAAAAAAAAAATCTGTAGATAGCAAATTGTGTGTGTTTGTGGGGGTGGGGTATGGGTGCATGGAGGGCTACCTGCAACTCTGAGCTCCCTAATTCCTGCCTCATTTCATGCAGTCTTTTCTGAACAGCCTATGCTGCTGCCCTGCTGGCCCTTGCATACGGCAGCTAGCCGTGTCTGTAGCTGTCAGTATGACTTAGATCTAGCACCTACCTGCTGGTTGATGTGTTCTTTCCTTTTGCCAAGTGGTTGAGTCTGTTTAGTATTTTCCATCATTCTAGTCTTTAAGTAAAAATGACGCTATTGAGGAAGGTCAGTCTACTCCTTTCTTCCTCCCCCAAACGCTTGTTCTCTTTTGTCAGGAAACTCAGCCAGAGGACTGTGGCAGAGAAAGTCCTCCACTCAGGCAGAGACTCGGAGTTAAGTCACAGGTGGCCTTAGGCATCTGCATTATTTGGGGGGCTTAAGTTTTCCTTCCAGTGAGGGCTTGGAGGGATAAATTAGCTTGTCCCCGAGGCCCTGCTTAGCTCTGACACTCTGCAAACATCCTCTGATTCTAGGTGTGATGTTGACTGCCCTTTCCAGAAAAAACTTGCAATAGAGGGAAAAGCCGTTAAGAGCAGCTCCCTGCTTCATCATTAAGTCCTGTCATCTCTGCCAGCCAATCCAAGTCAAAGAAGTTACACTTTATTCCCTTCTGTGGAATTACAAGTGAGAGACACTTTTATGACCTGGTGGACAAAGCAGGAGATTGGCTGTCAGCTCTCCTGGTCCTTTCCTTGCTTCTGTGGGCCTTGCACCGTCTTAGTTTACACATCTGCCAAAGGGGTAGAATTACTCTTCTTTTTACAGGTAAATTTCAAGGCACGATCAGTTTTCAGGAAGTGCTTCAAGACCCCAGGTGAAATGAAAATGCTAAATACCCTCTGAATTGCTATCCCTGTTACCAGGTGCTGCTTATTCAGATGATGGGGAGCACTTTTCAGGGTGAAATTCAGGCGGGTTTTGCCCAGGCCTGCTGTCTTGAGTACAAATGTGAATGATCGACTGACTGCTTGTTGCCAAACTGGAAATGTTCTGTAGGGATTTACTGGCATGGTATCATTCCTAGAAGAAAAAAAAAAAAGAGAGAGAAACTTGACTGCACATTAAAAAAAAAATCCGTGTTGTGACTTTTATTTAATTTCTATTTTGTTTTGGTAATAAAAAGTTGACTTTTTTATTTGAATTTGTCTTTTTTATTTATTGGTCTGAAAGGCATTTCAAAGGTATTATAATAATATATTGGTGTAATTTAATTGGTGCAACATGGTTTATGGCTCCCGTCAAAATTGATTGGTTTGAGCCCAGAACAGCCTACAGGGGAGAAAAAGCTGGATAACCACCCAAAGTGTTTGTATTTTCATTGGAAACTGATTTTTGTTTCATTTTGGTTTTTGTTTCTGTTTTTATTTTTAAATTAAATAAATTGCAATGAACTGAACCGAATGGAGACCTTGCCTCTTTATTTGGTGGTTTTTCTTAGTCAAGTAAGTGATAGAATTAATATAAGTAACAGAGACCTATTCAAGTGAACTTAAGCACAAAAGAGAATTTATTCGAAGTTCTCAGAAGAGGAACTGCAGCTTGCAGTGCAGCTGGAATTAAGAACTGGAGCGGTGGATTGAAGAGGACAGTGTACCCTCTTTTCTGCTTTTCTTTGCATATCAGCTTTCTTCTTCCCCTTTTATAGCCTGGCCTTCTCCTCCCTGACTGTGGAGCCCACCTTGGCTTACTCCATAGCTTCCAAATTTACATGTTCTCAGTCTTGGTTTCTGAAAGAAACTACTCACCAGGTTCCTTAGTTCTGAACTGGAGATGTCATCAAAGGCTAACAGTCAAGCTCTCTCCCCACATTTCAGTTTCCTGTGCCTGCTCTTTCCCTAGGCACTCCCCTCTATCCCAAGGGCAGGAAGTTGCTAATCTGATTGGGATTAATCAGAGTCCAACATCAGTGGGTCATGATTTCCTAATGGGGAAGGCCACTTACTGCTCTGCCTAGAATGACATAGTATCTTGAGTCCCATTTTGCCACTGTTTCTTGTGCAAACAGACCCTCCAGAAAGCTCTTGGAAGGTGAGGTGCATCATAGAGCAATATTGAAAAGTTCCTGGATCCTGGCCATAATATCAAACGACATCAAACCCTACCCTAGTATCAAACATTAGAGTCATGCTGTGCACAGAATAGTAGTATAAGATCCATGCAAGAAAAGTGACTTTCCAAAGAAATTACAACTTGCACCCCTTTTCTAGTCTACTGGAAGAACCTCTGATGTTGCATTGTCACATTTAGCAAATAAAACTATAGAATGCCTAGTTACATTTGAACTTCACATATACCATTAATAATTTTTTAGTATAACTGTGTTGCAGGCAATATTTGGGTCATGCTTATACTAAAAAAATTATTTGTCTGAAATTCAAATTTAACTGGGCATACTCTATCTGGCAACCTAACCTGATAGGGCTTAGTTGTCCAAATTGACCAGGTGTGGGGTACAGTAGGAGGTTGGGGAATGGATGCTTATAATTGTGGCTTGCCAAATTAGAACATGTTGGGGACTCTCAAGTTAGGCTCAGGCGGGAAGAATTCCTGAGTCAAGTTGCTACACCTTTTTGGAACTCAGCTTTCTCATTTGTCTAATGGGCATATTAATTGCTCTCTTACCCAACTCTAACAGGGCTATGAAGAAGAAGGAAGGAGAGAAATTCTATGAAGTTACCTTGAGTATAAAACTCAATATGAATGAGAAACAATTCTTTGCAAGGCAATATTCACTGATGTAAAATAGGACATTTAAAGGCCTGAAGGCTTTTAATTCTTGCTATAGCCCCTGCCACCACTAGCAAATGGGCAGTCATTTGCAGTTAAGAGGGGGGTGTCTGTCATTTGTGGAGTACATTTGCTTAAAAGTGTGGCCCTCGGAAAAGACATAATTCTGTATCCGGATAGAAAGAATAGCCTGTGCATGGCCTAGAGGCTGGACCAAATGTGACACAGTAAGGGTAGTGAAAAAATAGGGGTGCCTGGAGTGGCAGCAGTTGACATGTTGTCAACTGTTGTGGGGTTAATGGGCAGTGGTCACTTTAAGGAGGAAAGTTGAGAGAACTAACATGCATTAAGTTTCTACATGATGCCCGCTCCATCTTTATTCAGTAGCAAATGGCAGAAATCCACTCAGACCATGTTTACTGCTTCATGAAACTGAGAAGCCCAAGTGTGTGTCTCAGGCACAGTTGGGTCCAGGAGTTCAAGGGATCTCATTGGCCTCTTTTTCACTTACTCTCCCTGGATGAGGCTTTATTCTTAGGCAGGTGCTCTCTACATGGTATCTTTGGCCAAGATAGCTCATGGCCAAAGAAGGGTTATGACATTATTTTAGTGTGTGATCTTAGAGCCAGAGAGGTTCTTAATGTCCTAGCATTTATGTGACAAGGAAGGACTGTGATTGACTTTTTTGGGTCATGTGTCTCCTTTTGGCTTATCATGAAGTCTGGGTGGAGAAGTACTGTGATTGGCCAGCCTGGATCATGTACCCACCTTGTGGTATATTTGAATGACATGGAATCACACAGCATGTGGGAGGACCGATCCCCAAAGGAAGGAATGCAGAGCCAATGATATTAGTTAGTTACACATATTGGGCTTCAATTTCCCATCTATATAATAGCATTCAATAATAGCTAATTTTAAGAGCTATTGTGAAGATTAAATGAAATCAAATACCTAACATGGTGCCTGGCACATAGTAGATTTTTAATTTATGCAGATAATCTCAGAGAAGACAACAGTAGTAATACTATAGAGAGGAGATATATTTGTTAGGAAGATTTTAGCTGTAAAATCAGCTATAATATTTAAAAATTCAGCTGAAATTGGCTTAAACACTATAAGAGCTTTTTAAGTACATATACTGGAACTCTAGAGTTTGGGTGAGTTTCACAGTTACTTGGGTCTAGTGAAAGAACCAACATATACGATCCCCCCAAAATTACGTATAGTAAGTTCTATGAAGGAAATGGATATGGTGCAGAGATGGAGAAGTAAGAGTGGGAGCTACCTCCTGTAGAAAGAGCATTCAGGGAAGGCATCTCTGAAGAGATGACTTTTGGGCAGAGATCTGAAGATGAAGAACTAGCCATATGAAAAGTGAGCGTTCTGGGCAGAGAGAACAGTATCTGCAAAGGCCCTGGGGTCTTCAAGTCAAAGCTTTAAAGGATTAATTTCTGGTTCTACTGGCATAGGACAGCCATGATCCAGGAAGCATGATGTTTTGTTAAACAAGTGTGGCCACATTCTAACATGGACTGGATGTAATCATTTATGACTGTGTACAGACAGCTGCTCCCTTCAACAGGTGGTTCCCAGACGAAGATACATGCCATGATGTGCAGTTTTAAATGAGAATATGTTTCCGCTGCAGAAATTCACTGCCAATTTATTGAAATTTATGGAGAGGATGTTCTTAATCTACAGAATCATGCGAAGTTTGGGGTGTGGAAGTGAAACAGTGTTGCTATATGAAGACCAGAAAGTGCAGACAAAGGGGCCTTCACGTCACAAGCCATGTCTCCTCCTGGCACAACTGTCTGGTTCCAGTGGGAAGTTGCATGGGAAATTTGTCATCAACTTTGTTGTAAAATTGTGAGTTATTTTCCTCCTGATGAAAAATTTATACTGCCTTTCTCTACCTGACTGGGAATTTCCATTGTATCTTGACCATCTGGTTCCCCATTCACTCCCTGTACTAGTTTCTGTTTGTGAATTAATCTGGACAAGCTGTTATGCTGAAGTAACAAACCCTGAAATGTCAATAGCTCAATATAATAAACAACAATTGCTCACTCCCACTAAGTCCAGTTAGAGCTGGGCTGTTCTCTTTCCATGACACCTCGAAGCAGGTACTCAACCACCTGAGCTTCTTCTATCCTGTAGTTCTGACATCTCTGGGTTCTTCATTTCTGGCTGTGCAAATGAAGGAGAGAGCAGAAGTCAGAACCTTTTAAAGATAAGGCCTAGATGTGGTGTGCCTCATTTGTGCCCACTTCCCATTGTACAGAACTCAGCCGTCTGATCTCAACCTAATCATAGATAGTCCTCAAGTCTATAGTACTTAAAAAGTGAAAACTAAAATGGAATCAGATGAACACTTAGCATTGTTTCTGCCACAGCTTACTTTTGCTTCCCAGCGGGGAACACTTACCATTAAGAAGAGTAATTATTGTTAGTATCAACCAAGTGCTTCCTGGGCAGCAGTCTGTGTGCCTACCCTTTGCATATTATTATCTCTTTGAAGGTTCCTCGTGTTCCCTTATCTCCATTTTTGCAGATGAGGAAAGACTTTTGGAAAAGTACAGTAACTTGCCCAAGTCAACCAACTGTTAAATGTGCATCTGGATTCAAATATGGGCCTGGGTGACTAATTTTTAAGCCCAAGCTCTTAGTTGCTCTGTTAGGAATCAGGAATGATCCTTCTACAACTCAGTCTCCTTGACAGTAAGCCCCAGTCTGTTGCCATCTCTGTTGATACAAATAGCATTTTCCTGCAGGAGCTGGGCAGATATCAGGAACAAAGACAGTTGTCCAAATCAATGCATTCTCCAAACAAACGTGGAGAAGAGAGCAACTGTTCCCAATATCCCATTGACGACAAGTTCTTGAAGCTCCAGTTTCAGCAGATGGAATTAATAGAATAATTCATATTTCTCAACTACTCTACTGTGGGATGGGATGGAGGACCCTCCATCCTGAGCACCTGCAATGGCTCAGAGTTCAGTGAAGGAGACAGCTGGCTTTCAGTGGTGGTCCAAAGCTGTGCATACACATATTTCAACAGGGCTCAATATGGTCTCTCCTGTGCTATGGTGCCTCAGGGAACCCTGCTTCTAGAGGACTGAGAGCTCAAGCAACCTGGTCTCTCAAGGAGAGAGACATGGATGGCTGGGGAGAAGTTGCATCCCAATGAATGGACCTGCCTGGGGTCAGTCACTGCAACAGCAAATTCATCACATAAAAATCAGTGGGTCATCATGTCTTCAAAGCCCAGTACAGGGCAATGACACTGGCATGGCCCCCAACAAGACTTCCAGAGAAACACCTCACTGTCAGTGAAATTCAGGGCTGGGGACAGTTCATTTTGGAGACAGCTGGAGAAAAGGGACTCCAAAAAATAGCTATCTTGAGAATGTTCTGCAAGTTGGAAGTTGTGAATCACTGAGGCTGAAAAACATCTGATTCAGCAGTATCTAGGGTGTTCCAGAAGTTTCAGCTGTCAGGCTTTGGAGTCCAGACAAAGCATGTGTGCAGAGCAGAAAGCCAGATGCAGACCTCTTACCCAGTCCTGCTGGTCATCTCCAAAGGCAGGCTTGTGGGTTCAGTTGCTAGGAAGTACAGATGGTCCCTGGAAATGGGCTCTGCTTAGACTGGCTTCTCATAAACACA